TTATTTATTTCTAGGAGAGAGAGAGAGAGAGACAGCGTGAGCAGGGGAGGGTCTGAGAGAGAGGGAGTCACAGACTGAAACAGGCTCCAGGCTCTGAGCTGGCAGTCAGCACAGAGCCCGATGCGGGGCTCGAACCCACGAACCGCGAGATCATGACCTAAGCGAAAGTCGGAAAGTCGGACGCTTAACCGACTAAGCCACCCAGGCGCCCCATAAAAAAAACATTTTTTTTTAAATTCATACAGAAATATTTACAAATGAAATATGTGTTGCTTTTTTTTTTTTTTTTTTTTAATTTTTGAGAGACAGAGCATGAGCAGGAGAGGGGCAATGAGAGAGGGAGACACAGAATCTGAATCAGGCTCCAGGGTCCAAGCTGTCAGCACAGAGCCCAACGCGGGGCCCAAAACCACGAACCATGAGATCATGACCTGAGCTGAAGTCGGACACTCAATTGATAGAGCCACCCAGGTGCCCTACAAATGAAATATGAAATCTGATATTTGTCACAAAATAATCTGGGAGGAGGGAATGGATGGGTAAAGATGAAATAAGCACCCCCAAGTGCATAACTGTAGAAGCAGGGTACTGAATACACAGTAATTCTTTATACTCTTCCATCTTTGCATTTTAAAATTTCCCATAACAAAAACAGAAAACAAAGGAATGTATTTCTCCACAGGAACACAACAAGGGGAGATGCTGTAACTGTTCACACCATGAAGACACTGTGTGGGGGGACAGGAGAACACTAGGCTAAGAGTGAGAAAAAGGCCCCTTTCAGCCCTGACTCTGCTGGGTAACACCAGACCAGTCACTCTACCTCTCTGGGCCCTGGGCTGTGGTTTTCAAGTCCTCTGCCCCAGTTTTAATTTTTTCCAACTAATTTACTGAAAGCCTTTAAAAATTTTTTTAATAGTTTTTTTTTTTTTTTTTTTTTTGAGACAGAGAGAGACAGAGCATGAGTGGGAGAGGGGCAGAGAGAAAGGGACACAGAATCTCAAACAGGCTCCAGGCTCTGAACTGTCAGCAGAGAACCCAATGTGGGGCTCGAACCCATGAGCCGTGAGATCATGACCTGAGCCGAAGTCAGACGCTTAACCGACTGAGCCACCCAGGCGTCCCTATTGAAGGCCTTTTAAATACTAGAAATATCCATGTTTATTTTAAAACCCTGTGACGAGGGCTGCCTGGGTGGCTCAGTCAGCTGAGCGTCTAATTCTTGATTTTGGCTCAGGTCATGATCCCAGGGATCAAGCCCTGTGCTGGGCTCTGCATCAGGCTCTGGGCTGAGTGTGGAGACTGCTTAAGATTCTCTCTCTCTGCCCCTCTCCCCTGCTCATGTGCATGTGCTCTCTCTCTCTCTAAAAACTAAATTTTTAAAAAAGTTCCTTAAAAATAAATAAATAAAATCCTCTGATGAGACCTCTCACCAGTTTCTCATTTAGCCGGTATTTAAATTCCTCCTTATGTTTACTCTGAATCTACATCTGAGGGGAGGGGCTGTTGAAAATTATTCTCTTTAATAAAAATCTAAACAAAATATGGGATCAGTGCTTCCACTGTTTAGCTGTCAATATTACCGCTCATGCTGAGGGCCCGTTTGGTTTTTGTGATCCAGAAGTTATGAGAAGAAAACGGGTAAGTCGCTATCCAGCAGCTACAGGAACTATAATGCAGACATTCGTTATGCGCAAGCACTGTGCTCTTCAGGCAGTTTTTCCATCTTTTTGTGCTTAAGTTTTCTCAACCATAAAATAAGCACCTACTTCACGGAACCGTGAAGAGGAAAGAAAACAGGCAAAGCCCACAGACCAGCACATGCAAACGCTTGGCTAATGCGAGCTAGTGTTGTGTTGATGAAATTCAGGACCACAAGCAAACAGTAATGCAGGTGACAGATGACGTAGCCAGCGGGAGCTCATTTTTAGACCCCCCTCCCCATAAAATCCTGATGTTATACTCCAATAAACCTGGGCGGGGGGAACTAGACAAACCAATAATCAAAGATCCAGATACCTGGGACACGTCCCAGACCTATCACATCAGAATCTCTGGGGTGGGGGTGGAGGGGGAGAGTAGTTTTTAAAGTCTTCCAGTCCGACTTCGGCTCAGGTCATGATCTCACGGTTCGTGGGTTCGAGCCCCGCATAGGGTTCTGTGCTGACAGCTCAGAGCCTGGAACCTGTTTCGGATTCTGTGTCTCCCTCTCTCTCTCTGACCCTCCCCTGCTCACACTGTCTCCCTCTCTTTCTCTCAGCAATGAATAAAACATTAAAATAAATTTAAATAAAAATAAAAAAATAAAGTCTTCCAGGTGATTCCAAATGTGCAAAGACGTTTAGGAGCTGATAATGTAAACGACATAGACAAGGAATAAACAGCTGTAGAGTGGCTAGAGAACACTTAAATTCAGAGCTGACTTTTTTTTTTTTTAATGTTTTATTTATTTCTAGGAGAGAGAGAGAGAGAGAGACAGCGCGAGCAGGGGAGGGTCAGAGAGAGAGGGAGTCACAGACTGAAACATGTTCCAGGCTCTGAGCTGGCAGTCAGCACAGAGCCCGACACGGGGCTTGAACCCACGAACCGCGAGATCGTGACCTAAGCGAAAGTCGGACGCTTAACCGACTAAGCCACCCAGGCGCCCCTGAAATTTAAAACTTAATAAAAAATATGTCGTGTGAACTGGACATGTAGGACTAAAACATATCTATGTAAATAAAGAAAACAGAAGGTTCACGACCTGTTACTTTTAAGAAGACCTAATACTTAAAATCAAAGTCTGAAAGACAACAATCTCTCTGTGCAGTAGGAATTGAAGAACCTGGAGAGAGAAAGGCACTTACTCAGCAAGCAGAGCACCGGGACAGAAGCCCAAACACCCGAGAAACACAAATCGCCCTGAAGGAAGAACTGCTCCTTTAAGGACCGAGCACAATGGGGTGCACGCATCCTAAAGAAACGCAGCACCGCCCTGTGGGGGAGTGGGGGGGCCTGGGGTCAGGCCTGACCCTAGCAGCTGCTCCACTTTTCAGCAGTGCAATCCACACCTTCACAAGTTCAGCCGGCCCAGCAGGTGAGCAGCCCCTCTGCACCCCCCTCCCCCACTTGTGCCACAAAAGGAAGAAAGGTCTCATCCTGAGGTTAGACTGATTTCCACAAAAGGCTAGGTGACAATAAAGAAAACCTTTTTTGGGTGTTTTTTTTTTTAAGATTTTATTTTTATTTATTTATTTTAATTTTTTTAAATTGATTTTTGAGAGAGAGAGAGAGAGAGAGACAGCATGAGCAGGGGAGGGTCAGAGAGAGAGGGAGACACAGAATCTGAAACAGGCTCCGGCTCTGAGGGAGCTGTCAGCACAGAGCCCGACATGGGGCTCGAACCCACCAAACGTGAGATCATGACCTGAGCTGGTCGGACGCTTAACCGACTGAGCCCCCCAGGCGCCCCTGAGATTTTATTTTTAAGTAATCTCTTCATTCAATGTGGGGTTCACCACCCCAAATTCAAAGGGCGCATGCTCTACGGACTGAGCCAGCCAGGTGCCCCTTGGGTGTTTTCTCCATCCCTAGCTCACAAATAAGCCAGGGTAGGCCCTCATCCCAGGGACAGCTGGCTGATGTTAAGTTTGCCCCCCCAGATACCTGTTGAATATCTTGCTGCCCAAAGACTGAGCGGGTTTGTAGGAAAGAAAGTCCCAGCTGTGGCCACCGTGACAGGAACTGGGCCGGAGGCCGGGGGTCTGGGCAACCAGAGCGCCTGCTAACCTCTTCTCTTAAGCTATAAACTTGGCAGAACTGCCACGCTGCACTCATGAAAGCAGGCTGACGAGCAGCAGGCTAAAATAAGCGAAAATTTACAGGCAGGCACATTTTGGAATTTTTTTTTTTTTATTTCTAGGAGAGAGAGAGAGAGACAGCGTGAGCAGGGGAGGGTCAGAGAGAGAGGGAGTCACAGACCGAAAGAGGCTCCAGGCTCTGAGCTGGCAGTCAGCACAGAGCCCGACGTGGGGCTTGAGCCCCACGAACCGCGAGATCATGACCCAAGCGAAAGTCGGACGCCTAACCGACTAAGCCAATTGAGCGTCCGACTTTCGCTCGGGTCATGATCTCGCGGTTCCTGGTTCGAGCCCCGCGTCGGGCTCTGTGCTGACTGCCAGCTCAGAGCCTGGAGCCTGTTTCAGTCTGTGACTCCCTCTCTCTCTGACCCTCCCCTGCTCACGCTCTCTCTCTCTCTCTCTCTCTCTCTCCTAGAAATAAATAAGACATAATAAATAAATAAATATTTTATAAGCATTCCACGCTTCGGGGACATTTTCACGTGACAGGTTGACTCAAGGCCTAGAACTCCACTGACCAAAAACCATCCTTTCCCAAAGAAGTGCAATCGATAAAAACTGTAATTTTGCTGTGGCTACAGGTACCAACCTCTGTGGACCTTCAACCGGTATCAGGCACGGATGCAAACAGCTTCCAAACAATAAAACCTGTTCATCGTAAAGTGCCACACAGATGATAACCTGTGCCATCGCCTGAAGAAAACGACTACTGATCTTGACGAAGCCAAAACACAGACCGAAAACAAAAACAAACGCATGCTGTGCCCATCCAGAGCTGTTCGGGGAAGAGTCTTCGAGAAGAAACCCGGTACGTGACAAACTCGCCGTCGCTAACCAGCGGTGCGACCTAGCCCAAGTTCTGGCTGCCCACGGTCGCCGGCGCGGCAGCGAGCCCGGGGGAGCCGACGCAGGGCACGTGGGGCCCCGAGGCCGGGAGGAGACTCCCCACTCTCCACGCCCGTGTCCCCCCCCGGGCCGCCGGCGCTGCTCCGCGCCAGGCCCGGGCGGGCTCGGGGACCCCGCTCCCGGAGAGCCGGGCCAACGCCGCGGCCGGGCACGAAGGAGTGCGGGGCCCACAGGTGTCCCTGAGGGGCGCGGCCTGGGTGTGTCGCCACTCGCGGCCGCCCCTCCAGGCCCACCCTCCGCAGGAATCCCGCTTACCCGGCTCGGCGCCGCATCCCTGCGCTCCCCAGCTCGCTCGCGAGCCAGCTGACAGCCGGGGCCAGCGAAGGCGCGGCAGAGCGGAGGGAGCAGGGCGCTCCTGGAGGGCCGCAAGGCGGCCATGGCCCGCGTCCCCCGGCTGCCGCGGCGCACGGCAGAGTCGCGCCGGCGCACGGGCTGCCTTACGACACGGTCGCACAGCCGGCGGAAGGGAGCGGCGCGGCCGACTGTGCGCTTTCCCAGCGGTGGACGGGCCGCGGGGGACCGGCCGCGGGGTGGACCCTGCAGGGGCGCAGGGGGCCGGCGGTCGCTCTCGGGCCGCGGGCAGTTGCGGGCTGCCGTGCGAGGCGATAGTCGCGGGCGCGGCGCGGCCCCGGAGGACGTTTTCCCAGGGCGGGGGCTGATCGGCCCGGGGCGGGGCCGTGGACCGGCGACAGCGGGAGTGGCGGAGTCGTTGGGCGTCGGCGGCTGAACGCGCGATGGCGCGGACCGCACAGGTGAGCGCGGCGCGGCGGCTGACGGGCCCGTGGGCGACCCCTGCGCCGGCGCGACCCCCGCTCCGGCCCGGCCTGCCGGGCCTCGGCGCCGCGCCCTCCGCGCGTCCGGCGCGGGCCGGCCAGCTCGCCTCCCGCCCGGAGGGGGCGGGGGGGGGAGCGGCGCGGCTCCGACCCAGCGCGGCCGCCCCCTCGCCCCGCGGCCCATTGTGAGGTCAGGGTCGGCGGGCGCGTCGGGGGCCTGGGCGAGACGCCGGGAGCGGCCGCTGCGGCCAGTAGCTGCCGCGCCACCGCCGGCCCCTTCATCGGCCGCCCGGTTCAGACCTAACCGGCACGGGTGAGAGGGATGCAGCTAGGGGCCCAGCTCCGGTGCCGCACCCCGTAAAGGGCTGACCTTCCACCTCGCCACCTCACTCTCGGGAAGCCAAGACCAAACCAGCTCAGACCTCTTCTGGGTAAAGTGCTGGCAGGGAAGAGCGAGCGGGGGCCGCGGGCGGGAGGGGAGAAGCCGGGGAGCCCGCCCTTCCTGGGCCTCTGGAGGCGTGTTCCTGGCCGGGACACCCGCAGGGGATCGGTTTCAATTGACGACCCAGTCTCCCAGTGAGCCGTACGGTGGGGACCCAGGAGCCCAGGGGGAAATGCGTTAAGCCATTCTGGACCCCTGGTGGGAGGCGAATGAACGAATTTCGAATTTCTCCCGGCTGTCACGTGTTTGGGGGAGGGGAAGGAACGTGATGGTGCTTTGAACACGGTACCAGGCGCCTGTCCCTCCCCAGGGAATTTTATACGTCTTCAGGGAAGATTCCAGATGTGCTGGAAGGGTGCAGGGAGAGTCAGGGTAGCTTGGTCCAGGTGTGTGAAGGGTGGCCAGGAACAGTAGATGCGGGGACTGTGGGTGGTGATTGGGATCCAGTGGTGTTTGTTTCACTTAGTACCTTTTCTGGAAACTAGGCATAGCTCTTTGGCCAGGCGGGTGCTTCGATAGCACTGTTACCGTTTGAAGGTAAAAAGATAGGAGGCCAGTGGTTTACATTCCACAAAGGTGCCCTGCTGTTGCCAACGATAATACCTGAGATATGTGCTGTTTCTGAGCTGACCCTTGACTTGATTACGTTGGTATAAAGACGTAGACTTCTTACAGTGGAGGACACTCACAATTCACAGGCCCGGAGCTCCGGCTCAGTCCACACTGCAGTAACCCGTCTTAATCCCTGCTGTGTGTAGGTGATTTTCAGGAAGGTGGATTAGTCACTCTTTCTGCACTTGAGTATGACTGCTGTTTGGATCACAGCAGCGACGGCCCTTTTTATCGATGCTCTTTTATTTTTGAGAGAGAGTGCGCGCGCACAAGAGCAGGGAGGGGCAGAGAGAGGGAGACACAGAGGCTCCAGGCTCTGAGCTGTCAGCACACAGCCCAACGCAGGGCTTGAACCCATGAACCGTGAGATCACGGCCGGAGCCCAAGTCGGACACTCAACCGACTGAGCCGCCCAGGCGCCCCGGTCCCTTTTTCTTGAAAATATTTTTTCAGTGCGAATCTCAGAATAAACATACAGACACCATTGTGTAGAGGCTTTGTGTGACGTGTTATTCTTGTCACTTTTTAGTGCTTGTAAAACTGAACACAGCAAAAGTATGGATATGGGAAATCAACACCCCTCTATTACCAGGCTTCAGGAGATCCAAAAGGAAGTCAGAAGCATAGAACAGCAAGTAATCAGCTTCAGTGGTCTGTCAGATGACAAGAATTACAAGAAACTGGAGAGGATTCTAACAAAACAACTTTTTGAAATAGACTCTGTGGATACTGAAGGAAAAGGAGATATTCAGCAAGCGAGGAAGAGGGCGGCCCAAGAGACGGAGCGTCTTCTCAAGGAGTTAGAGCAGAATGCCAACCACCCGCACCGCATCGAAATACAGAACATCTTCCAAGAAGCCCAGTCCCTGGTGAAAGAGAAGATTGTGCCCTTTTACAGTGGGGGCAACTGCGTGACCGAGGAGTTCGAGGAAGGCATCCAGGATATCATTCTGAGGCTGACGCACGTCAAAACCGGGGGCAAGGTCTCCCTGCGCAAAGCAAGGTATCACACGTTAACCAAAATCTGCGCGGTGCAGGAGATCATCGAAGACTGCACGAGGAAGCAGCCCTCCCTGCCGCTCTCCGAGGACGCGCACCCTTCCGTTGCCAAAATTAACTCTGTGATGTGTGAGGTGAACAAGGCCCGGGGCACTCTGATTGCGCTTCTGATGGGAGTGAGCAGTAACGAGACGTGCAGGCACCTGTCCTGCGTGCTCTCGGGGCTGCTCGCGGACCTGGACGCCCTGGACGTGTGCGGGCGGACGGAGATCCGGAACTACCGCCGCGAGGTCGTGGAAGACATCAACCAGTTACTGAAATACTTGGATCTGGAAGAGGAAGCGGACACCACGTACGCATTTGACCTGGGACAGAACCATTCCATCCTGAAGATCGAAAAGGCCCTCAAGAGAATGAGAGAAATAAAGAACGAGTTCCTTCAAGCACAGAGCCCTCCCGAACTGTACCTGAGCTCCAAAACGGAACTGCAGGGCCTCATCGGACAGCTGGACGAGGTGAGCCTGGAGAAGAACCCTTGCATCCGGGAGGCGCGGAGAAGGGCGGTCATCGAGGTGCAGACCCTCATCACCCACATCGACCTGAAGGAGGCCCTGGAGAAGAGGGCGTCGCTGGCGTCTGAGGCTGAGGAGCACCCGCCCCACAGAGCGGTCTGGAGCATCCTGGGGAACCTGGCCGAGATCCAGGGAGAGGTCCTTTCATTCGACGGCAACCGAGCCGACAAGAACTATATCCGGCTGGAAGAGCTGCTCACCAAGCAGCTGCTAGCGCTGGACGCCGTGGACCCGCAGGGAGAAGAGAAGTGCAAAGCGGCCAGGAAGCAGGCGGTGAAGCTGGCCCAGAACATCCTCAGCTACCTCGACCTGAAGTCCGACGAATGGGAGTACTGAACCGCAGGGCTCGCGGCCCGCTCCGCGCTTTCTCTCTGCTTCCGTGTGTTCAGAGGGAGCTTTCGGCTCAGGGAGCCGAAATGGGATTGACGCGTGCGTATTTCAATCTCACTATTTGTGATTTAAGCAAATTCTATTCGGTATCTCTGATGCTTTTGGTGTTGCAAAACAAATATCATTACAGCACATTAACTTTTCCATTTGGATCGTCATCTGTATGTTGTGGTGTGGTTTTCTGGGGGCGTTTAAATCAGAAAGTGGACCGGGCAGCTCTTGTGATCCGTGAGTGGGCTGTGCAGGACCCCACACAGAGGCGTGGCCTCGTCTGGTACTAGAACAATTATGAGAAGGGGGGAGATTTTTGGTTAAGTAGAAGTAACAGCAGTACAGTGGATGTTTTATTATGCTAAATAAGGCAGGAGGGGCTTTTTTTTTCCCCCTTTATTTCTGAGGCCTGATTGGTCCAACCCAAGTTAATAGGGTGGGGGGTTTTCATTTCTTTTCGGGTTTTCTGGTTTCTCATAAACATTTTTTGTTTGAAAAACGGCGTCTGTATTTTCCCCATACTCCGCCTTTAGAGGGGAAAATCTTATTTTTATGTGCAATATAAGACAATTATGAAAACTAGTAGCAAAAAAAGCCTTTGAGACTGCATCGGAGAAGGGATCAAGCACCAAATTCCCTTCAAGTTCTCCTTGTTCGTACAATCTGAATTCACAGTTTTCTGTAGTAGTAAGGATGGGAACATTTAAGTCAAGGTAGGAGACCTTTGAAAAGGAAGAAAGAAAAAAAAGGAAACACCCTTACCTGTAGCGGGGTTATGACAACCGGAGATGGGTGACCAGCGTCCGGCTGCTAACACTAAGCGAGCACGTCTGAACGTGCCGCCTCTGGTGTTCGAGGCCGGGTGAGGGACAGACTCCTTGAACCCCTCCCCCTCCCCCCCCATGCTGTTATACAGCGTCTGAGAGCAGAACCCGCCGGGAGCTCCACGGGACCAGACGTTTCCGGCCTGTCCAGGGAAGCCCGCTGCCCCCAGCGTCCTCCGACCCCGCGCTCTGGGACGCGGCTCCGGACAGAGCACCTGCCGTGCTGCTCAGCTTGAGTCACGGGCGCACGGGGGTCTGTCTCGGGCCTGGGGGAGCCGGTCAGGTCCGTCCGCGCGGGCAGCAGCTTTCCTCCTGCCGAAGGGCGTGCGTGTTTCTGTAAATGCTGAGGATCCGGTCTCAGGGCTGCCGGTCTGTGGGAACACAAGGGTTTCCCCGAGTTCTGAGGGGCCTGGACACCGTGTGGCCCCCGCGCTGTAACAAACAGACGACTCTTTTTTGTTCTCGCTTTTCACAGAAGAATCCTGTTAGCGCATCTTTTGGACCCTACAGTGGTCTGTGATTTTCTTTCAGAGATACTAATTTGCTAACTGTGTAAGCAGCTAAAAATAAGAGATAAGGGAGTAGCCCTAAATACCTAAAGATGATAAAAGTGTGGCCCTAAAACAGATTTTCACTTTGTCCAATAATGAAAAGCCCTTGATGTGTCTTTCCTGCTAGAAGTGTTCCAGATGCAGTGGACAGTGGGGTCACGGCACGTGCGCAGGGGCTTCCGGGGCTGTGGCCTCGAGCCCCCCCCTCCCCCCCCCGCACACCCAGCCCCTGGCAACTGCGGTTCCCGGTGCGGGTCACTGGTGGTAGTTCATTAAAGTCCTTTTAGGATTGCTATTGTGCACCCTAATTTTAGGGTGCGCTTAAAATCTCGGAGTTTTTAAATCCGGGGCCGTCTCAGTCACCCCCCTGGGAGATCGAGGGCGGCGCTCCGTCCCTTCAGGCATATCCCGTGCCAGGCTCTCCTTCATTTTCAATGTCAGATTTGGAAGTTCGGCGTCAGCATTTCCTTTGGAAGTATCCATTGTTGTTTGGAAGGGGACCTCCCGGTGCTGTTCTTTTCAAACGAGGTTTGCCGTGGCCTTGGCGCCGGCCGGCCGCTGAGCCGGGGGCACTGCCCTGAGAGGCGGCGGCGGCTGGCGCGGAGCCTTGCGGATGTGTCACGAGGGCCATGGTGGGCACCGGGGCGACCGGGTCGGCCTCGAGTGAGTGTTCAGGCGCGACGTTCCCGTCTCCCAGCCCGTCCGCTTCCCACGGGGCACCCTGGTGACACGGGGTCCAGCTCTTCTGTCCTCGCTGGAGGTGTGTTAACGGGCCTGCCGCATGTCACCGTAAACTGGGCTCCTCACCCTGTATTGTATTTTCATGACCTTCACGAAGAGAACCTGTACTGGAAGTAAATCCTGCCCTTTAAGAATGTTTGGCCTCGGGTCTGCATTAAACGGTCTAATCCATGTTCATGCAAAAACTGGCTGGGAATGTTTGCTTTCTTTACCTCCCGTGCAGGCCGCTTTGCTTTCGGGTGGCCTTTTCCCCGATTAGATTAAAGCCAACCGACCTGTAATGAAGTCGTTGTGAAAATAAACGCAGTGAGTCTACGCAGGACAGTGGGGTGCTCGCTTCTGCAGCGGCTCGGTGTGCAGCGCTTCGGACGCGAGTCCGCGTGGCCGAGGCCCTCGGCCGCTTTTTCGCATTTGTTTGACTTCGCCAGCTTTCATCTGGTTTCTGAAGGTCTAAGCTCATCCTGTACATACAGGTTATTTTTAAGCAAAGCTTTTCAGCTTTTAAGTGTCTAGTATTTTTCTAAGAATAATTGGCGAACTATTTGCCATTGGTTTTGATGTACGATACAGATGTGTTCCTCCAGCATGTGGGCCCCCGTCCCTCTGTTCTCATTGTATGACTATTGTAACCGTACGTCTGAAATAATGCAGTATTTTGAGATATTAGTATACCCTTAATTATTAATGAAATAAAAATCTCTTAGCTTATCTTTGCGGTGGAGAAAGGATGTGAGTCTGAGGTGTGAGTTCTGTTCTGACGTGTTCACCTTCACTGACTGCCTGACTTGGGGAAGGAATAAGGTCTCGCCAGCGCAGGCCAGGCATGGGGCGGGGGGCGGGCCCCGTGGGCCTGTCTGGTGGCAGTGGCCTAAGAAGGTGGCCAGCACTGAGCACAGACCAGGGTCCTGTGGCAGGCGAAGGGGTAACTTGCTGGGTAACCAGCAGGAACCGGAGAGCGGCCCCCTGGGGAGATGCCCCCCCCCCCCGCACGGGCCCACGCGCCCAGCCCTGGACCTGACCTGGAGAAAAGGGGGCAAGTGTGAGGAGACGCCCACCCCCCAACCCCCGTAGGACAGGCCCGCCTCACCGCCTCCTCATGAGCCAAGAGCTCCTACTTGTGACCGGTGAGCCCTTGTGGCCCCTGGGCTGCCGCCCCGCTCTGGGCCCGGGCAGCTTCCCCGCCTCCCGTCTCCTGTCTCCCCGCTTGTGTCTTCCAGGGGGTCCCGGCGCCACAGGCGGCGGCTCAGCCACACAGATGTGTCATGCGCCCAGGAGTGAAACAAAACAAGTTGTACAAGTTAAAACATTTGGGGGGAAATCTGAAATTTTTAGTAAATCCTCTGCCACACAGACACTCGCGTGGAGTAAACCACATCGGGACGAGCATGGTCCAGCTGGTACCACGCGCTGAATGCTGTGCAGACGGTGGGAACGCACCTGTCACGCTGCGCTGCCCCAAAGGACCCAGCGTGGCTAAGGGGACGGAGGCCATGACGGACCGGGCTCCCCAGTCGGACCATCTCTGGCGTAGACGCCTGAACGTCAGGAGCAGAGCGGTGCTGAGGGGGCACCGTGGGCCCGGCAGGGGGGCGGGGGGAGGGGCCCCGAAGGAACAAGCCTGTCGGGATGTCTGATGGTGGCATCGTTGCTTCTGCTATAATTTAAGCGCTTCATTTCTGAACATCGCTGACCGGACCTTTCTCTGCGCGCCGCCCCGTGTGGACCGTTTACGCGCGCGTTTAGCCCTTGGAACTGGTGCAAAGCGGGGTTTCCTGTTTCGTAGATGATTCAGACAGTCCCGTGTCACCTGCCCAGGGAACCGCCTCCGGTCACAGGGCTGACGGGAGGCGGGCACCCGGGGTTCCCGCTGCAGGTGGTTCGTCTGGAGGGTCCTACCCATGGGCTTCGGACGGCGTGTGTGTGTGTGTGTGTGTGTGTCTGCGCATGTGGCCTGGGAGTGTGTGTGTGTGTGTGTGTGTCTGCGCATGTGGCCTGGGTGTGTGTGTGTCTGGGTGTGTGTGTGTGTGTCTGCGCATGCAGCCTGGGAGTGTGTGTGTCTGGGTGTGTGTGTGTGTGTGTGTGTGTGTGTCTGGGTGTGTGTGTGTGTGTGTCTGCGCGCGCAGCCTGGGAGCTCTTGGCCCACTGGTGGGGCCACTGGGAGCGCAGGCCTGCGCCCAGGACCTCTGCCCGCCTGCCCAGCCTCAGCACGGGTCCTTGGCACCAGGCCTTGACTCCTGGCCAGCGCACAGGCATTGGGTGCCAAATGTCGATAAACCCTGCGTCCTTTGTTTAGGAAAAAGATTTGAAGTTAATTTCTACACCCAGTGGGGCTCAAACTCAGAACTGTGAGATCAAGAGTTGCGTGCTCCAGGGGCACCCAGGTGGCTCGGTCAGTTAAGTGTCTGACCTCGGCTCAGGTCACGATCCCACGGTTTGTCGGTTTGAGCCCCACGTCGGGCTCTGTGCTGACAGCTCAGAGTCTGGAGCCTGTTTCCCATTCTGTGTCTCCCTCGTCTCTCTCTGACCCTCCCCCACTCGTGCTGTCTTTCTCAGAAATGAATAAACTTTGAAAAAATTTTTTTATTAAAAAAATTTATTTAAAAAAAAATGTTTATTTTGAGAGGGGAAGGGGAGAGAGAGAGAGAATCCCAACCAGGGTCCATGCTGTCAGCGCAGAGCCCGACTCGGGGCTCCATCCCACGAAACTTGAGATCGTGATCTGAGCCGAACTGCGGCTTATTCTGTCCTAATGTGTCTTCACTGAATGATAACTGGGAAGACACGCCCGACTTGTCTCCGTGAAGTTAGCACTCCTCCTCGGACCCACAGACCTTTCTGGGCTGCTGGGCGGCCGTGGCTCCAGCCTGAGAAGCCCTCCACGCCTCCACGTCGTGTCTTCACGCCACGGTCACGGCACAGGCGGGTTCCATTTGCACAATAATCCTCCGAACTCTGCGCCCCCTCCCTGCACCCGTTCCCCCGTGACCATCGCCAGCCCGCCTTGTCCTCCTGGGCCACAGAGCTGGGGGGCTTCTTTCTGTCCCCTTCCTCCCACAGCTGTCTGGCCTCTGCCTTACCTGTCACCCCCACAGCAGGCCGGGCCGCCCACGCTGCCTTTCCGACGAGCCGCCTCCCCGCGCTTGCGGCCTCAGGCCCTGGCGGTGACGGGCGCTCAAGTGTCCTTCGGAGGGACTCCTCTAGAAGTGGTGGCCTCAGCTCCTGGCGCCTAAGACATGAATGAGTAGAGAATCTCAGCTCTCAAGAAGCTTCATGACGTTTTAAAATCAGCTGCCTGGGCCCCCGTCTGGTTCAGTCGGTAGAGCACGAGACTCATGTTCAGGGTCGTCAGTTCAAGCCCCATGCTGGGTGTGGAGCCTACTTAAAATTTTTTTAAATAATAAAATCTTAAAGAAAACACTCAGCTGCCTTTTTGCTCATCAGGATTCCGAGAACTTGGTCCTCCTGCCCCTCAGCCGGGACCCGGTGTCTCTGTCAGGAGCTCGCCGTGCACCCTCCTCGCTCCTCGGACACGGTCAGGAGCACCTCTGACGAGGGCCCCTGCGGAGAGAGGGCCGCCTCACACCGACGGGCCCTGGCTGGGTGCCCGGCTGGGCGAGGAGCCGAAGGGACGCAGGCGGCGCCCACACGAGGAAGCCCCCCGAACACCGGGGCCTCCTTGGCCACGTCCTCCTCCCGGCCAGGCCCGGGGCTGGACAGCAAGGTGCCCAAGGCCCAGTGTGTCAGGCAGAGGCCGGAGCCTTCTGCTCAGAGGGCCACCGCGTCACGGCTCACGGGGGTGGAAACGGGTGTGGAGGGTCCCACCAGGATCCGCGCGGTCTGGGTGCAGGGCACCTGCCTCTCTCTCCCTCTGTTTCCCTGGGGAGGATGGAGAACGGAATTGCTCCTGTCTGGTGCCCGTCACAGGCAGATCGGCGACCCCCTGATGGCCGTCACTGCAGAAGGGATCGGCTTCAGGGCTGCTCTCCCTGGTCCTCGGCACGTCTCAGCAGCCACCCCACGCCTCAGACAGCCCGGTGAACCCCCCGGGGAGGCAGGAGCCAACAGCCAACAGAAGACTGGCCACGGCCCCGCTCCGCTGGCCCAGTGGAGAATCACACAGCCCGATGCCACAGCACGTGGCCGGTCGCTCCTGTCTCCATCCAGACCCCGAGGACATGAAACTGTTTTCTTCCTGGCTGCACCCTCAGTACCTAGAACAGCACCAGGCTCAACCAGTAAACATGTGTTGGGTAAATGGATGGATGGAGACAGTCGGCCCGTCCCTGGGGCCTGGGGCCGCGAGGCCTGGGCAGCCGGCTCTCAGCCGAGGTCCCGTGTCGGCACCCCCTGCAGGCCTCCGCGTGCTCCCTTCTCTGCAGGCTGCTCCCGCAGGGCAGGCGCTACTTTCTCCGGACATTCAGATCCCCTCTTCCCGCTCTCACCCCCCACCCAGCCACTCGAAGGAAAGGAAGGTGTCCCAGGACCAACGTGGCCCCGTGGGCAGGGGCCATGCAAGATCTGGGGAAGAGTGTGCAGGCCTTGAGGTGTAGCGGCCCCTGGGAGAAGGTCAGGTGCCAGTCTGCAGGGCTGGGACCCACGGCACCCTGTGGCTGTGGGGGGGCGCTATGGGCGCCTTGGGGGACAGGACTGCCTGCTGGATCAGGGGGTCCCCGGCACAGAGGGCCAGGTACAGGTGGCCCCCGGGACCGGGCACTTTCCCCCAGACCCAGCCCACCACAGCTGCACCAAGGGTCTCTCGAGGCCTGAGCCCCGCTGCGTGTGGGGCCTGCCAAGCCGGGGGCCAAGGAGGGCCCGACGAGACCCTCCCAGCCCCCTCCCCGCCCCTGGCCCTCCCCAGAGCCGGGCCTGCAGCACCGTGCACGAGCTTAACACTCAGCCCCTTGACCTTGGAGGTCTGAGAAGCCGGTTGTGTGTTGTTATAACAGCGGCCGCCAGGCGGCACCCGTGACCCAGCCCCGTGGGCGCAGGGCCCTGCAGGGTGGAGGGAGCAGCAAGAGCAAGGGGCCCAGCTGTCGCTCCTGGGCCCCCCGCCGGGCGCACCTGCCCTCGCAATGGGAGACAGGTGGCAGCGGCGCGGCCTGGCCGCCGCTTCTGCCCCCACTTGGTGCCTGTGGGGGCTCTGTGACCCGTCATGCCACAACCATGCACCACGATGGAGGGTCCGCGTGGAGCAGATCCTGAGGCATACCTGACTGGCCCACCCACCGACAGCTCACATTGCCCCCCACCATCAGGGTGGAGCCCCCACCGCCTGGCAGCCAGGGGAGCCCACACTGTCTGTCCGGTTCTCCGCGCAGGCTGGTCCCCCGTCCTGGGTAATTCCCGCTGACCTGCCTGCCCCTTGGGGCTCCATGACACCCTGGTCTTGGACAGACACTCCCTGGAGCTGGGTAACCCCCACCCCATCCTCTGTCCTCAAGCCCCGCTTCAGTGCCTGTGTTTTGGGGTAGAGAAAGTCAAGGAAAGCTGGAAAGACGGAAGGAGCCCGAAGACCCACAGCGCACAGGTGTGCCTGGGCTGCAGTCGGGAGCCTTAGGGTCAGGAAAGGCCGCTGTGGGAAGGGAAGGCCGGTCCTCAGCCACCCTGGCCCCCCCCACCGGGTGCTCTTAGTGCTCAAGGAACCCTGTCCCCCGCCCCTCTCCAGGCCCGGGCTCCCCCCCAGCAGCTCCCCGAGGCCCAGCCCAGGCTGATGGGGTCCCCACACTGCATTGTGGGGTCAGCGGCAATGAGGACAGCACAGGTGATGGTGTGCCAGGCAAGGGTCACTGTCACCGAGGAAGCAGCTGGAGGGGCAGCTGGTGGGGCAGGGTGTGGGGTGATGGTACCCACCCGGGCAGCCTCATTTGCTCCCCTGGAGCCTGGTGGGTGCCCCAGGGTACAGCTGGGGTGTGGGGGGCCTTAACTCCCAGTCTCGAGCCTGGCCAGCCTCACGGTGGCAGTGGCCTCAGCCCAAGGGAAGCCTCTTTGCCATCAGTCCAGCCCCAGGAACAGGGCCGTCTTCCGGCCTCCACTCTGATGTCCGCGGCCTGCTGCCCGCCCCGGCGCCCTGGTCCCAGCCCCTCCACGAAGCCCCCTCTGCCTCGCCTCTCGTGCCCCTGCCCAGGGAGGCTTTCTGGGCCTCTCAGCAGCCACCCCCGGCCCTGCACCCAGCCCTGCCTTTCATGAGCACACCTCACACGGCGTTATGGCACAGAGAGGCTGACGCCTTGGCACCGCAGGGCAGTGACACTGAAGAGCTCACTTCTCTAAGAGCTCAGAGCCTTTCCCAAAGGCCTTGAGATTCTAAGAGACAATAACACTTCCCCTAAAGGACACCAGCGCTCACGGAGGTCACAGCCACCGCAGAGGTGTGGGCAACATCGAGTGGGGCCTGTTGTAAGGGGGCTGTCCCCTTTCCCAGGAGCCAGCATGTGCTCAAACTCCAGGGGGCTTGGGGACCCCTCGCCAGCCCTGTGCTGTCAGATGGAGAGACTGAGGCAGGAGATCCAGGGGCCCAGCCGTGACCCTCAGAGGGGGCCCAGGTGCTCTCCTCCAGCAAAGGGACCAGCCCCTCCCGCCTGGCCGCTGCCCAAGGTTCCTCCCCAGGGAAGCTTCCCTGCTCCCTGCCCCCTCAGCGGGGGGGGGGGGCTCCCCAGAGTTTCAGAAGCCCCTCCCATTCTCTCCCCTGATGCCCACACTCCACTCTTTGACATCAGGTGACCACAGGAGCCAGGCTGGGCTGCCTAGGGCCCCAGGGCCTCTCTGCACTCACTGGGCCCGAGATAGCCCGAGGCCTTGGCCAAGGCAGCTGTCCACCAGTGTGTCCCTGGGCCACTGTCTGTGAAGTGCAGGGAGCCCTGGGGGGCAGGGACGACAGCCTCATCGGAACCCAGTGCCGCTCACGTCCTCCCTTTAGACGGTGTGTCCCCTAAATCCTAGACCAGCAGAGCCCCTCCTCTCCTCTCCATTATCAAGGGGATGAAGTGAGGCAGGCCCCTTGCCAGCTCTGGGCTTCGTGGCCCCTGGAGCCCACGCGGGGCTTGGAGCCGAGGTTCTGCATGGACATCCACTCCCACTTTGCCTGGGGCTGAGCGCCGTGCTCCTGGGGACTCCAGGGCCATGGCTCCTGCAGCTCCAGTGAGCGTTTGGTGTGGCTGTGCGAGTGTGAATGCGTGTGCACACGATCCGTGCATGCCACGTTTGCGTTGTGTACATGTGTGCACACCTGTGTAGGCCATGCATGCACGTGTATGCACGTGTGTATGCGTGTGGGCACGTGTGTATGCATGTGGGCACGTGTGCCACGGGTGTGCACGTGTGCTGTACACTGTGCCTGTGTGTGTGCACGTGTGCTGCACGCTGTGTGTGAGAGTGCATGTGTGTGCTGTGTGAGTGACAAGGGGGGACAGAGACACTGTGCCACAGACCCCCCAGCTGCCAGCGGGGGGCGAGGGGCCTGGGGGCAGAGAGGGCTGGGGACTGGAGCAGCCCCTCCAGGGGGACAGGGCCTGGGCTGGGCTGGAGAGGGAGCCCTGGAGGCGGCCCGAGGTGTCCTGGGAATGTCCCAGGAGGCCCGCCGCAGCACCATGGCAACGCCGCACAAAGCGGTGTCCTACTTACACCCCGCCCCCGCCCCGCCGCGCGGGCTCTCCGTTCCAGGAGAGGGTGCGGGGCTCTCAGGCCTCCTGGGGCCACACTCCCTGGCCTTTGGGTCTCAGTGCCTTAGAGGCCGTGGCCTCCTCCTGGCATCCCGCCCAACCATGGATGCTGGGCCAGGCCCTGGGGATCGTTTCCTGTCCCTTGAACGAGTGTGGCGGGGGCGGGGCAGAAATGCCCGGCACCCAGTAGGCGCTCAGCCCCACAAGTGCCCTCCCTGCCTCCCTGCTGGGCTGTGGGGTCGGTGGCTACGACAGACCTTGGAGCCCCCCCTGCCGAAATCTCGGGGCTCTCTGTGCTGCCAGCAGCCACGAGGTTCTCTGTACCCCAACCAAAGACCTCGGGTCAAGGCCTCCCCAAGTCAGGGCAGTGTCTCAGCGGGAGGGGGCAGCTGAGAGCACTGGGGACGGAGCCCGAGCCGCCCATACGCCCCTCACGGAACAGGACCCACAGGAGCGCCGGTGCCCCTCGCTCGCTCAGGTGCCCCTCGCTCGCTCAGCCACCTCAGCCTCTGTCCAGAGCAGGGCGGTGACCCAGACCCCACTCACAGCAGGCGGGAAGGTGGGGAGGAAGACCCCCTGGGCCTGACATTAAGTTCACCTGTGCCTGACTCCTGGCTCAACCTGACCTTCAAGGGCCAGCCCCACACCCGTGCCCATGGTCTCTGCCTCCAGGAAGCCCGTCTGGCCTGGAGCCCAGGTGGCCTCAGAGCTATGGGTCCAATGCCCAGTGCGGCTAAGCAGGGAGCCTCCTGGTGCATTCGTGGGGCAGCCTGAGGGACCCCCTGGCTGAGCCCGGTCTTTGACGTCCGTCCACACGTCCCTCCTGCCATTGGCTGCCCTGGGCTACCCAGACCTCCCCGGAGTCACCTCTGGGGCAGTGCCCTGAGGGCTAAGGGCAATGAGGCTGTGAGGACACTTTGTGGAGCGGCAGGGGCCCTGGGGACAGGAAGCCCGTGGCCCCACAAGGGGTGGGTGTCATAAGACACTCATCTAAAACCAGATGTTTTCCTGACCCCACCTGGTGAGCTGGCCAGGCCGAGGGGCCCGCCATGTGCCTGTGCCCTCAGGGCCCGGCAGCTGCTGGACCCTGAGCCCCCGCCTGCCCTGGGGACAAGACCAGAGCCCCTGTCCACACACGTCCAGCCAGTCCTTTCATCCAGCAGGTGGTCTGTGTCCCCAAGGCCAGCGCTAGCGACCACGTGAGGAATGAATGAATGAGCCTTGGAGGGGGCAGCCCCGTGTACCCCGTGTGGGGGGGAGGCTGGGCTCGGCTGTGTGTTTGCACCGCGAGCGGGTAGCCCCCCACCCTGGGCGCCAGCTGCAGCCGCCATCCCCTCCCCCACCTCAGGCCCCCTAATTTATGCGGCGAGGGGGGCCACCCGCTTACTTGTTCCCCGCCTGGCAGTGGCTTTGTCCCCAGGCGGATTCCCAACAGCCGCCTTTGGGAAGAAAGGGCCCTTTTCTGGCCGGCAGTGAGGTCACCAGGAGGGGCTAGACGCGCACAAAGGCCAGGCCAGGCCCCCCCCACCCCCTGCTGGCAGCTGCCTCTTTGTCCCCAGCTCTCAGCCTAGAAGAGACCCCAGCCCCCCTCCCACCCTGCCTCCTGTTCAGCATAGGCGGGGCCTGGGCTTCCTCGGAAAGTTGACAGAGTGGGGGAGGGGCCCAGAGCAGGCCCCTTCCCTTCTTCGCTCCCGATGAGTGACAGTAGCAGTTATCACTGGACCCAGGGTAGCTGTAGGGGTCTCCGCTTAGTAGGGGGGTTCTGTCTAGCCTGTCTACCCAGGCAGGCAGGTAGGCAAACTCCCTTCGGGGTAGGGGTTGCAGGAAGGTGAGAGGGAGGTGTTAGGAGGCAGCCTGGAGGGGGTAGGCAGCCGGTCCCTGGCCAGGGGGTGCATAGTCACGGGGAGAGGCTCAGGGCAATGCTCCTTGCACTTAGCAACCCAACCCAGCTTCTCCCTGGATCTCGTGATGCCTGGCCTGTGCGTGTGTGTATCTGCTGTGTGTGCACACCCAGAGTGCGGGGGGGCGGGGGGGAGGGCGGGGCTAGAGGGCCTGGGGAGTCACGCTCTCCAGGCTGAGAAGGGGGCGGCCCACGGGGCAGAAGGCACCGGATGGGGGAGTTGTGTGAGCAAGGCCTGGGGGCCTGACCTAGGAGCTCAGTGAGAGCGGTGGGGTGGGGGCCAGACACGTGGACTTCCGTCCCCAGCCTGCTGAGCCCGTCCCCTCCCCATCCCCCAGGACCAGCTGGTGGCACTTGGGCCCAGAGCTCCTTAGCAGTCTCTCCGCGTCGGGAGGAAGTGGAGCCTGAAGGGCAACACAAAAGCCCTCGACTTGTCCCAGACAAACAGAGGCCAGGCTGGAGGCTGGGGATGGCCGCCGGGGCCTGCCAGAAGTGGCTGCAGGCAGAGCCAGCCCTGGCCAGGCTGGGCTCAAGGTGGGGGTGCCAAGCCCGAGGGCTGGGGACAGAGAGCAGATGGCAGAGGACCGAGGTCCTACCAAAACCTTTAAGATCTGCCCAGGACCCCCGAAATCCCTGCCTCAGGACTACGGGGGACCAGCCAGGAAGCAGGACCCGGGAGGCAGAGGCCAGGAGGGGGTGGCAGGCAGGGAAGGTGGCTCAACCCAAGTTGTAGAAACTGAGCCAGTGGGCCTGGGTCACGGCGGGCGCCTGGGGCCAGCACAGGGCAGGCCCTTTACCCCGAGGGCCCGGACAGCCAGCGCACCTTCAAGTCCTGAGGTGGGGGGGCACAGAGCTGGGGGATGGGGTGGCCTGGGCCTCCAGTGCCCACCCTTCCCTGGGAAACGGCTCCTGCCCTGTTGCCTAGTGCCCGGAATGTCCATTGTGCCCGTAGCTTAGCAACACGCCGGGTCACCCCTGCCGCCCCCGCCCCCCAGCCTGCAGTCTGCATTCCTTGGCGCCCAGGTCTCCTCTCCGCAGGCCTCTTCTGTGCAGCGCAGAGCCCTCGGGCCATGCCATGCTCCTAGCATCCTGTGGGGCTGAGGCTGCTGGCGCGGGCGGCTGGGCGCCACCGACCCCCACGTGCTGGTGCCTCTGAAATCACGAAATCACGTTCATTCCTCACCTCGTTCCCGGTTCCGTCCCACTTAGCGCCTCTTTCTCGAAAACACGGCTGCCTGGGGCCGTGCAGGGGAGATGGCGGGAAAGGGCACGGGGCCACACAGGATTCCTGGTTCGGGACAATTAGTAGGCATCATCCACTGCATGTCAATTACACTTCAATAAAAATGGGTTTCTACACTGTTTTCCGTGGTATAAGAAAATATTTTCTGTGGGACAAGGCGTGTTGGCAGCAGTGGAGTGGGGGCGGGGCTGAGGGACCAGGGTGGTCGTCTGGAGTTGGGGGCTGGAGTTGGGGGCGGTGCGGCAGGGCCTCCTCCTCCTCCGGGGCAGGAAGGGGCCCCCCTCCCACCCTCTGTGCTGGGGCCACTCCGGAGGCCCACCCTCCACCACAGCAAGCCCGCTCCTGGGTCTGTGGCCCTTGGATCCATGCTGCGAGCGAGGAGCAGACTGGATGGCTCACGGTCGCCCTGCGAGGGACGGGCCACCTGCCCCACCGCACGCGACCCACTGCCCCCAGCCCCAATGCTGGAAACCCTAGAGAAACACCAGGGCCTGACGTAAGAGGAGCCTGGTGGCCCTGGGAGGGGAGTACGTCTGGGGCACCAGGGACTCCTTCCTGCTGCCCAGAGAGTCTAGAGCAATGAAATGGTGGACACAACCTGGGGCACTTTTTCCTTTTAAAATATGTATTATGAAAAATGTCAAGGGCACCTGGGTGTCTCAGTCGGTTGAGCATCCAACTCTTCTTTTTGGCTCAGGTCATGATCCCAGGGTGAGATGGGAGCCCTACACAGGGCTCAGGGCTGAAAGCATGGAGCCTGCTTGGGATTCCCTCTCTCTCTCTCTCTCTCTCTCTCTCTCTAAACAAACAAACAAACAAACACAAACTTAAAAAAAAAAAGGGGGGGAGCTTGGGTGGCGCAGTCAGTTAAACATCTGACCTCGGCTCCAGCTCAGGTCATGATCTCACAGTAGGTTCTCTCTCTCTCTCTCTCTAAACAAACAAACAAACAAACACAAACTTAAAAAAAAAAAGGGGGGGAGCTTGGGTGGCGCAGTCAGTTAAACATCTGACCTCGGCTCCAGCTCAGGTCATGATCTCACAGTAGGTGCTGACAGCTCAGAGCCTGGGGCTGCTTCAGATTCTGTCTCCCTCGCTCTGCCCCTCCCCCGTTCGTGCTCTGTCTCTCCCTCAAAAATAAATATAAGAAAATGCAAAGCCTTCCATGTCCAAGGAGTATGGGGCTTCCCCTCCACCGGCCCCCACCCTGCCACCCAGGGCGCCCGAGGCGCGTTCCAGCCGCCCTGCCATCTCCCAGTACCAGCAGCACACCTAAGCGAGGTGTCATTCCTTAAACCCACAAAATACATACTCAGGCTCCACATTTCCCAAATGTCTCATTTTGTAAAATAAAGCCTCTGGCTTGTTCAGGTCAGGGCTTGAAGGGGTCCGTGTGCACCGCCTCCCCCAGCTCGTGCGGCGGCGCTCGGGGAGCCCAGGGCGCCTGCCAGACGGAGCCTCTGGAGACGCAGCGATCCCACAGGGCGATCCGGGACTCGGCACAAACATTCCGAGCAGGCGGAGGCAAAATTAAGCTCTAACTGACACCGGCGAGGCCTGGAAGAGTGAGGTCTAGGTGCTGGAAGCCTCTGCGGACTTGACTGTGCTGCTGAAGACATCGAGATGTGTTTGTTCACTTGTTTTAAGAAATAAAAGGAAGAAACCGTTGGAGAGATGCCGGCTCCTCTGGCAGTGATCAGGGAGCCCGGCACCCCCAGATTCCAAATTCCGCAGGCCCGGGTGGAGCCAGGACCTTGCATTTCCACTGCGCCCCCAGGCGATGCTGACACAGCTGGGCCAGGGGCCGGCCCCAGGGCCTCAGCTCCGGGGATATTTTCAGGGACACACCTGCGGCCCAAGCTTAGGAATGTTTTGCCTCAGGGATCTGCCTCCCGGGTTTGTAAAGACAGCCAGGCCAGCAGAAAGGACCGAAGCCTGGCCGTGGAGGGTCACTTCTGCCTTCTGGGGGAGGGCGGCGTGGCAGAACTCATTCTAGGGAGGATACGTCCTGAGTTTGCTAGAGAGACAGGAAGTCAGGAGGGGCTGCTGACCTTTGGGTCACGTCAAAGTAAAGCCCACTCAAGCATCTCCCGAAATGCTGGAGTCCAGGCGGCCCGTCCACCTCCTGTCCCAGGACACAGTGATTTCTGTCTCCCACTGGGGTGCTGGACCTCGGGTCCACGCTCACTCGCTCGGCCGTGAGGGACTGGAGGGCTGAGGCCAGAGGGTCCCCCTGTGCTAAGTGCTCGGCGGCCGGCGCACGGAGGATTCGTGGGCGTGTGGGGAGGACTCAGGGGTGAAAGGGCTGTGTACCATGTTGGGCTCAAGTGGGGCGGGTAGGGGGCTGCTGAGGAGAGGGACCCCAGGGCGTGAGGGCTTGGAGAGGGATGAGCCCCCAGGGTCCTCCCCACCCCTGCCTTTCTTGTCCACAGCAGGAAGGAGGGCCCCAGAGGGAGTCAGAAGGGGATTCAGGAGGTAAGGGGTGAGGTCGCAAGGTTGGCCAGAGCGCCGGCAGGAGGGCAGCTGGTGGGCGGAGAGGTGGGGACAGCGGAGGTGGGGGTGGGGTGGAGGATGGAGGTGGGCCGCCTGGCGGGGTGAGTGCAGGCAGAGGGAGGGGATGTAGGGCCAACCCATTAAAAGACTCTCCTCCACGCCCGGGCCCTCTGCTTCTTCTAAAAATGTGCCCGCACCCGGCCGACCCCCTTTGAAGGGACAGATGTCAGGGAGAAAGCTGATTACTGTCAAAGGCTGGAGGCTGCGACCGGAGCTCTCGGTGAGCATGACCCAATTCTGAGCTATTCTCAGCCTGGTGGGAGCCGAGCTATTCCCTTCCGCCGACGCCGCTGCTCCCGAGGCAGCCTGACTTTGAAACGCCCTCCTCCCTCCGAGGGGCGCGAGCGGGAGGGCAGGCGAGGCCGCAGTCCCAGCCCCGCCCGGCCCCGCGGCCCCTCCACCCAAACCGCAGGGCCCCCCTGCACGAGGGCAGGCCCGCGCCCGAGCTGGCCTCGCGCGTGCACAGGCCTGGCCCCGGGAGAGGCCAAGAGCAGCTGCAGATGGGGCTGCTGCTGGCAGCCTCGGAGGTTATTGGGGGGAAGGGGCGGGGGGGGGGAGTTGTTAGCATGACTGCGTGTCAGCCGACCGACCTGTGCACACACCTCAAAAGCCATGGAGGTCACCCAAAGTGCCCTCTGCCCCCGGCCTGCCGTCATTAGACAACGCTGAGCACAGTGGGAGGAAGTGCTGTGTTCCAGAGAAGTCTCTGTGTCACATCTTCTCTCCCGTTATCCAGAGATACTAGTCAAGTGCCCCTGAAGCGAAAAGCTCTTCAAGGACCTCAAACACCAGAGGACATTCTCAGATGGGCCCAGAAGTGGCCCCAAGATTCTGGCATTGGGATCTGAGACACAGAGCGACGGCTTCCTGGAGGTGGTGGCGGCAGCGGCTCCCACCAGTGAGGACAGTCACAGATACTCCGGGTGCCTGGAGGGCTCAGCCGGAAGAACGTGTGACTCTTGATCTTGGGGTCAGGGGTTTGAGCCCCACGATGGGTGTAAAGATTATTAAACAAACCCCAAGAAACCCCTCTAACTTAAATCCAAAAAGTTGTATGATCACCGACTGGGCAAACGCCAACTTGGTATTTTAATCTCAATGCAGCTCCTCCCCACCCCCACCCCCACGCAGGCACAGTGTCCTCCTCTCTGCCAGGAGGGAAGGGACTTGTCACCACGGGGCCCAGACGGAGGATGTGAAGCAGGTGGGGCAGAGGGCACCCCTGGGCCTCCCGCTGCAGGGCGCACTGGAGTCTGGGCCTCCCTAAGAATCAAGTCCAAATTCCTGGTCTCCGCGACTGCAGGGGCCACCTCCCCGACCACCCCGACCGCCGGCCCTGCCCCCGCGCCGCCCAGGGTTTAACCCCCTTCCCATGCTTTGCTTCCACCACGGGGCTCTCACCCACACCGCCTGTGCGTGGCTCCCAGGGGCCCCTCGGGGGCTGGGCCGCCCTGAATGTCTGGGTCCCTGGCGCCAAAAGGGCGTGGCGCACAGCAAGGGCTTGGCTGGCACTTGCAGGCCCCAGCACCCCGTGAGGCTGGCCAGGGCAGAGCTCTGAGGATTGGGCACGATCAACCTCCTGGGGCATCAGGGGCCAAGACCCCCCAGCAGGCCTCTTACCTGAGGCCCCACCCAGAGGCAAGGACGCCCCCAGGCTGGCCTGTGAGCCCACAGCCTCTGGGCAGAAGGGGGTGCTGTGTCCGGGCGGCCAGCCAGTGCTCACGGCGGCTTGCAAACAGGGCAGGCGGCTACCAGTCTCGGGGGAGGTAGGGACCCTGCCCTCTCCAGCTCGTGAGGCTGCCCACGGGCCCCTCTACCCTCGGAGGCCTGTACACCCCCACCTGGAAGGAACTCTTCCCGTTTCTACCAGCTCTTCCTTTTTTCTTTTTTTAAAATATTTTATTTAATTTTGAGAGAGAGAGAGAGACAGCATGAGCAGGGGAGGGTCAGAGAGAGAGAGAGGGAGACACAGAATCTGAAGCAGGCTCCAGGCTCTGAGCCGTCAGCACAGAGCTCAATGCGGGGCTCGAACCCACAAACCGTGAGATCATGACCTGAGCTGACGTCGGATGCTTAACCGACTGAGCCACCCAGGCGCCCCTGTACCAGCCCTTCCTGACCTTGCGCAGCGGTCACCTCTTCTGAGGGGCCTTCCAGGATTCCAGTGGAAATCTCTCTCCGCTTTGGCCTCTGTGGTTACAACCCAGGGAACCACACTGAGCCGGAGAGTGTCTAGGAGTCCCCAGCTGGCAGGCAAAGCGGAGGCCTGGACCCCAGTGGGTCTTATTTCCTCTGGGCCTCAGTTTCTCTACCTGTGCAGCGAGCTAGGTGGGGAGAGACAGGGGGCCTGTGTCCCCAGGAAGACAGGTAATGGAGGCTGACAGGGCTGGGGGGGTGGGCAGCAGATCTGCACAGCAGGGGTGAGTGGGGCAGGTGTGGACCGCAGCAGCATGGCATCCATCATGCCACCCACTGCCCATCCAAAATCCCACCCTGGGCCCCCAGCCCGCACCAGCGGGGGGCTCCTGGTGGAGGGGGGGCGCCCCTCAGAGGCAGGCGAGGGTGAAGCTTAGCCAGGCGTGGGCAGCACACCAGGGCTGAGGAGGGCAAGGCCCAGGGGGCTTCCTGGGGGGAAGGGGAGGGTCCTGGACTGTCACACTCCGGGCAAGTAGGCCAGGCTCTCCAGGTGTTCGGGGACTCGGACGGGGTGGGGGGAGGGCAGCAGGGGAGGCGCTAGACCAGTGACATCTTGGTGCCTTGGGTGGGGGCAGGGCGGGCACAGTAATTTCCAGGAAAAACTGAGGATCAGAGTGAGTGTCTGGGACTGGGCGGGAAGTGTCCCCATGAATCCTTGCCCTGTGACCAGCCCCATGCTGCTGACTCGCAGAGATGACTGTCACCAACCTGCTGACCAGTCACTCACCATGGGCCCTAGCCCTGCCTCTGGACTTCGGGCTCCCCTTCTGCAGAATCGGGGCACCACTTGCCTTTGGCTCCCTTGCCTGCAGGGGACCCGAGGCTGGGAGACAGGACAGAGAATGATGAAACCAGGGGTGGATGGCACAGAGACACATTTGAGTGGGGTCTTAGAGGGTGCGCTGGAGTCCGCCGGGGGCTCAGGGCCACACAGGCCTCCAGGCTGAGGCTGCATTGGGCCCAGAGGGCTACCTGGGGCGAGGCTGGTAACTGGAGGCACAGATGAGAGGCCGGAGGGCCACCCAGACCCAAGAGCTGCCCTGTGCCAGGCGCATCTTTGGGGGGGGGGGGGCGGTGCAAGTCTCCTGACCCCGATCCTCTGGCAGCCCCAGGCCCAGGGACAAACCGGGGCCGTGGTCTGGACAGCCATCCTCAGCCCCGTCTGGAAGTGCAGCACGACCGGCGGGCCCTGCCATGCCGCGGACACCCCGCAGGCCTCCTGAAGGCACTGGTCCTCCTCTGTCCCCAAGGCTAAGCATCCGCTCAGAGGTCAGGCCAGGTCCTGGGAGGCAGAAGGCCAGGATGGTGGTCCCAGGGCCGCTGAGGAAATCTGATGGGGCTCAGGCCCTGCCAGGAGGTTGGGAGGGAAAGGGAGCCCCGCCCGGCGATGCTTCCCCCAGAGACCAGCCCCCCAATAGGCCCACGTCCCCTGGCACCTTCCCATGGACTCACAGGCCTGGGGGGTTCTTTCTTGAGCTCCAGACCCTTCAGGAAGGAGAAGAGATAGTCCATGCTATGAATGCAAGGGCCGGCCGGGCTGGGAAGGGAGGGTCCAGTGCTCTGGGATGGATGGACAGGCACGGACGGACGGACGGACGGACACACACACACACACTCTCGCCCCTTTGTCCATCATGTCCCAGGCCGTTGTCCTGGAGTCCAGAGGCCCTGTCCAGACGCCCGCCCTGGGACAGGGAGAGGAAGGAGCAGCACTGTGTGTGGGGAGGTCCAGCCTAGAGGCTGGTGTTGGGAACGAGGGTCTGGCTCGAGCAGCACCAATCAGACCGGGTGCAGGGCAGGGGCAACGATGTTTATTTCTCTGCCAGCGAGGTCAGGAGCCGGCCTCCTGCCCCCTGCCAGCACAGCACCCTGGGTCCAAAGTGGGGAAACTGAGGCTCCTGACAACAGCAGAGGCGGAGGGCAGACCCGCCCTGGAGGGCTGCCCCCCACCCTGGATGCGCCCCCAGGACCTCTGGCTCCCATGAGGGCTGGGCACCCACAAGTAGCTCCAGGGATGGAAGCCAGGGTGCAGACGGCTGAGGGGGCCTGGCCGGACCACCGGAAGCCACTTCGTCCGCCCCAGGCTCCCGGCTGGGATGCTGTGTTCGCACTTCTTGACACACCAGGGGCTTTGGCTGGACGGGGGCCACAGGAGGCACTTCCGGGCGGTGGGAGAATCGAGGCAGGGAGGCGGGGCTGCCCTTGCCCCCTGCTCCCCTCCCCCGTGTCTCCAACAGGAGGGGATGTGGGACACCGCCACTTGGCCTGTGTAGCGCCCAACAGGCCGGGCCAGGCCGCGCACCGAGGGAGCAGCAGGCCCCTGGGCCTTCTTCTCGGGGTCCTTGCTCCCCCGCCTCCCTGCCAGCTCGGGGCCGCCTGGCAAGGGGTCACCACTTGGCCTCAACACCCAGAAGAGCCCGCGACGGTGGAGACTTCCTGCGGCAACAAAGAGCAGCGGCAGCATGGGGGAGCGGAGCCCAGCGGTGACCCGGGCCGGCGGCCTTCCTCCCCAGAGGACCCGCTGGCCTGGAGCCGGCCTGCCCCCGCCGCAGCCGGCCCCCCGGGGGCCCGGCCCCGCCCCACCGCGTTTGTAAACACAGGCCCAGCAGAACCCGCTGACCATATAAGGTGGCCTCTGGCTGAGCTGCACTGCTCTGCCTGGGCTCCAAGGCGGCCCACTAGCCCGGGGCCTTGGTGGCAAAGGTCAGGTAGCCGGTGTGGCCCACAGCCTCCTTCATGGGCGTGCCACTGCGGAAGGGGCCAGCATCGGGGCCCGGGTCGGCCCCCAGGTCAGGCGCAGGCAGGCTCACGGTGCGGACCGTGTACACCTGGGGCAGCACCTCCATGGTGCTCAGCTCCGAGAAGCCGCGGGCCGCCAGCGCCTGGCACGTGCGCTGCACTTGCTCGATGCACGGCGAGAAGGAGCAGAAGCGCCCACCTGCGGGAAGCCAGACGTGCAGTCAGGGGGCAGGAGGGCACAGGAGCCAGCGGCCCGAGGGCCCGGCCTGTGGGTACCCAGCCACCATCCTGGGGTCTGAGGCTGCCAGGCCCTCCGCCAAGCAGAGCTGAGGGGCAGGGCGGAGGAGGGGCTCTCCTGGAGCCACGTGGAAGGGGCCACTTAGGCCAAGCCCGCCACCCTTATTTTGTGTGGCCTGTGGCAGGCCTTCTCCAGGGAAGCTGAGGGTCGGGGCAGAGCCTGGGCATGGCCACCGAGTGCCTTGCCCAGAACGGCACTCACCACACAGCACGGTGGTTGCAGTGGGGGAAGGGGCTCGCCGGAGGGCGGGGGCTGCTGCTGTCACAGGAAATTAGAGGCTGTCACCCGCTCTGGGGAACAGCAGGCGCCTACTCTGAGCAGAGCCTGGCGGCCAAGGATGACAGTGCAGGCGGGAGCTGACAGCCCCTTCCTGCCACCCCCCCACCGGGGCCCACCCTCAGCGTCCCTCTGCCTGGCCTGCGTCCAGCCCACGTCCCGGTCCTAGCAAGGAGGGTGCGGGGAATGCAAGGCGGGGGAAGGGATGTGGCCAGGCAAGTCCTCGAATATCCCTGAGGCCTGGTCACCGGGCCACACCCAGGAACCCTCACGTGGGTCTTCTGGAAGGTGTGGGTTTGGAGGTAGCACGAGCAGTTTGATGCCAACCTAGAGGACACAGCGTCATCCCCAAGAAGTGGCCTGGCCCCTAAGCTGAGGGGACAGGGCCCGCTGGAACGGGGGCCAGAGCCTTCCGGGCGGCCTGAGTCCCAGGGAGCCTGGGGGCCGCACTTGCCCGGGGTCGGGCTTACAGAGCAGGCAGACAAGCCACCGGAAAATGCAAGGCCCACGAGTAAGCCGGGACCCTCTGGGACCAAAGCGAGCAGACACAGGGGGAGCCCAAGGGAGGGGCTTGGAGGGGCACAGGGAGTGGGGTCCCTGGACGGTGCAGCTCCCCCCGGCTAGGCACCAGGAGGAGCCCCAGCGCCAGGGGGAAGGCCCAGGAGTGTGACCACGTGGACCTGGCCAAGACTGGGCAGCTGGCTCTGACCTCTCTGAGACTGCAGGGTCTGGGGGCAAGCTGAAGGGGTGGAAGGCGGGAAGCTGGCTCAGCTCCTCCCGAGCCCCAGGCCACCTTGGCAGACAAGGGACACTGCAGGGGACCCACTGGGACCCACTGCCGCCTTGCTGTTTGAGGCGTGCCTTGGCACCTGTCTTTCGGAGGAACAGCCCTTCCCCTGGGGGCCCCTGGGCTCGCTACCCCCCCTCCGTCCTTGCTCTGCTCAGCAGGGAGGGAAAGGGCCATGGCCGCCTGGGCTGGCTCCTTCTCCAGAAAAGGGAAAAACCCAGGGCCTCACCAGCGCCTCCCTGGCTCAGAGCCAACCTTCCCGCCTCCTTCCCGCCTCCACATCTAGCATCTTCCCTAAAAGGGGCCGGTTCGCTGGCTTGTGGCTGGGAGAGTGGGGGCGGGAGGGGGGGGAGGCGAGGAGACTCTTCAGGCAAGAGCTGGGGTCAGAAGCTGACCTCTGAAGTGCCCTGTGGCATAGGTGCCACCTCTCTCAAAGATGGAGCTGCCGCGGGACAAGGCCGGGCTCGGCTGGAGCCCAGTCCTCCCCACCTCCCGCGTCTTCAGCCAGCCCGACCCACCCCACCTTCAGGTCAAAAGGGGCCCTGGCCTCCCTGGGCTTCAGATGACCCACACCCAAGGCCAGGCCCCGGAGCTCAGGCCCCAGGCCCACACCAGAACCCCCCACGTACCTTCAACCTTGAGGGCGTCCCAGGCATGGCCCACCGCCTCCCAGGGAGACGGGATGTCCAGGAAGACGGCATCAGCCACGTGGCTCACGCCGAAGCCGCTGCGGCACACGTCCTGGTTGCGCACGGTCACCCAGCGGCCCACTCGATGCTCCCGGAACTCCTCGCGAGCCTTCTCTGCCCGCTGCTGGTGGAACTCCACCGTGTGCAGGTGGCCCGTGGGCGCGATGGTACGGATGATGGCGTGGGACACGGAGCCGCTGCCAGTGCCTGGCAGGATGGGACGGATGTCAGGCAGGACTGCCAGGGACGCTTAAGAAACAAGCCCACCCTTACTCTGGAAAGACCCACACGGGGCCCACGGGTCAGACGATGCTGGTGAGCATCACTAGTGGGCGGTGGGCACCACTCCGAACTGCCCCTGATGTCCCAGCTGCCCGGGTTTCGTCACAGAGTCTGCACTGGGGCTGGCTGGGGACGCGAGGGGCTGGGGTGTATTCTGGGGTCTGCAGTGGGTCTGAGTGGCAGGGCGGCAGCCCTGTCCAATCCCAGCACTGGAGCAAACCCTGTCCCCGCCCCACACCCCCCACAGGGTGCGCCTCACCCACGACCCCCATGCGGAGCCGAGTCCGGTAGCTTCCGCCCCCCCTTTGCCTGGCCTCGCGGCACCAAGACACCGCAGCCAACTTGCCACAGGGCCCCAGTCTTCCCTCCACGTCGCTGCCCACCCGTTCTCTTCCGCCCGCACTGGCCACTCCCCAGCCCCCTTCAGCGCTGCCCCTCGGCCTGGCCGAGCCCAGCCGGGGCCACGTCCCCTCCGCAACCTCCCTGCCCCACGGTTTCAGGCGCCAGTCTCCATGCACGTTCCCCAGCGCCACCTCCCCTCAATACCCGTCCGGCGCTCGGTGTTAACACGGACAACGCTGGACCCGCTCCAAGCTCCTGCCCGGCCAGCAACACCCACAGCGCGACCACACGTCGCAGGGGTGCCCGGACGCCCCTCTCTCCACCAGTAGCTCCTGCCCCCCCCCCCCCCCCCCCCACTGCACCGCCTGGGCCCTCCCTCCTGGCTCCGTGTAACTACCACCAGATGGGATTCTCTTCAGCTCAGTCAGCCCCTGCTTTCTGCCCTCCACGCGGGCACAGTGAGAGCCGAGCGCCCTCCGAGCTGCGCCCTGTTTCCTCCCGACCTCGTTTCCTGCTCCCGCCACCCTGGTCTCCTTGCTGGGCCCTCACTCCGGGCCTCTGCATGGCTCACCCTTGGCGTGACCTCCTCCTCCTCATCTCCAGCTGAATGTCCCCGTGCCAGAGGCCTTCCCGGGCCCACCGAGGTAGAGGCCCCCCTGGAGTCACCCTCAAAACACACAGCCCTGTTTTACTAGCCTCACAGTGACCACAGGGTTGAAACAGTACCACTGGGCTTACTGTCACCTCGGGGAAGGGGCAACCCGGCCTGTCTTGTCCACGGCTGTACACGCAGGTCCCGGAGGGCAGCTGGCCTGTCAGAGCCCAAAGCATGCCCACTGCAGGGAGAGCAGCAGGGGACAAAGCGGGCTGGAGGGCCCCCACGTGCCCTGTGGCCGAGCAGCTGGCCTCTGCCTGCCCCCACTAACCCTCTGGCCCACAGCCCAGGTTCCGCACCTGACTCTCCCCTTTTCAGAGTATCTGGCTGGCCAACTGTCCACATGGAGAAAGAGGCACGAGAGGGAGAAGGCGGCCTCAGGCTTGGGAACAGTGGTGCTGGGAACTCCTCGTGACTTCGGAGCCCAGCTGCGCAGCCCGTGAGGAACATGCTGGAAATCTAGGTGCGTCGGGCCTGGGCTGTGTTTGGCCAGGCTGTATGCTTCAATCTCTACCCCAGGTGGCCCCAGCACCTGTATGCGTGCATGTGCATGTGTGTGTAAGCGCCGGGAACGGCCTGAGGCCCTGGGCTCAGTGACAGTGGTGCGGGCCGAAGATGAGCTTGAGACAGACTCCCCACCTAAAACGAGCACCTCAGAGTAGCCCAGCCCTCCCTACAGGAAGGGGAAACTCTCGGCCCCGGGGACCAGGTGGTCAGGGACTGCGGGCCAGCCACTCTCTGCCCTCCTGGCAGCACCGGGGCAGCGACTGGCCGTCAGGACTCTCCCTGAACACCAGCTCCTCTGGGGGGAATCGCTGGTCCAGTGCCAGCAGCTCTCATTCAGATTACAGCACCAGCCTCCTAGCCAGTGCCCCCGCTTCTGCCCTCACTCCCTGCAGTCAGCCCCCCAAAACCATCTTGGTCAAACTGAAGCTGAGCACCCATGCCTGTCTTCCAGGCAGGGCAGGCTGGAGGCTGTCCGGATGCTGGGTCTGACTTCCACCTTCCAGTCAATCTTTCAGAATTAGGATTGAGGCGGCCCAAAGAACTCACCGGATTCACAGACCACAGAGCCAGGCCGAAGCTCCAGCATCATCGTGAGCAGAGCAATGTCGGTGGAGTAGAGGATCTGGGTGCGGTGTGGCAGGTTCAGTGTCCAGAGCTCAGGCGTCGGGTGGAGCACATACACCCAGCCGCCTCGGCCACAGGTCACCTTGGAGCCGAAGGGGCGGCCGATGAGGTCTACTGAGTGCCGCAGGACTCCATGCCGGGTCTGGGTCTGTGCCCCCCGCTGCACACGCACTGCCACCATGGCACCATGGCCCAGCGACAGGATGGCCGTGTCACCCTCTTTGATCAGCTCCTCATAGGCCACGAAGCTCATGGTGTTGCTATCTGGCAGGTGCCTGAGACCTGGGAGAACGTGTGTGGGCATGAGCACGCATAGGTGCCAAGAGGGTGCACCTGGGACCTGAGGGGAGGACGGTGAGGCCCAGATCCCTAACGGTGAGGTTGGGGGGGGGGGGGAGCTGGCTCAGTCCTTAGCTCTGTCCAACAGGGCGACCACCCTGGCCTGACACGTTAAGCCTTTCTTGGTCTAGGTCATGATCAGAAGTCATCAGCCCAAATCACAGATGGAGAAACTGAAGCGGGGCAATGGAAAACGACGGGCCCCCGATTTCCCACTAGGGCCCAAACCCTCTCATCACCCTTCCCCGGGACACAGCTCTCATTCTCCAGGTGTGAGAGGAGGGACCGGCCGCCAGCGGGGCGGCGGTCAGTGGTCTGAGCTATCACCTCCAGGCCACGCTTCATTCCGCGGAACCCCTCCCCCCCCACTTTCCCCCAAAGCGGGCTTCCAGGCGGACGGGCGGCAAGGGGGATGCAGAAGAGGTAAGGGCCCCCCAGGAGAGGTTGGGGTGCGGCAGGACGGGCCGGCACAGGGCGGGGGGGGGTCCGCACCGAGTCTCACCCGCCAGGCTTGGCGGGCTGCCGCCACAGGACGCTCTGCACGTGGCTCCGCGACGGCTGCCCCCGCACTTCCGGCTCCGGCGCGGCGCCCGCGGATGGCGTCACGGCGCCCCGCCCCTCGCGCGCGGGATGCCGGGACCCGCGGGCAGCCCCTCCCGCCTGCGGAGCGCGCCTCCGGGGCGGTTTCTAGCCGCTGCGACTTCGCTGTTTATGCAAGCTCATGCAAAGGACAAACGAGAAGTTCCAGTGTCCCCTGGGTCGGGCTGCTGTGGGCGGGGACCAGGGCAGGGCCTCGTAACGCACTCTTTTGGACAGCCCTGGAGTCCCCGGAAAGGCTGGCCCTTTGCTAGCTGCCCACGCCCGACGGGGACACTCTCCGTGGGCCGTGTGGTCCCAGCAAACCACTCTGGGAACACCTCCCAGCGGGCCCCAGGATGAATTCCAGAAAATGGAATTGCAGATCGCAGGGTCGTCCCGGAAGGCTCTGGCCCCAAGGGTCTGCAGAAGTGGTCTTAGGCCAGGCCTTGCGTCCCTTGCGGGGGCACATTCTCCACCTCGGGGAGGCAGGCGGGGCGGTCCCCTCCCGGGACCCAGGGCAGAATGAGAGCTGCGTGAACCGGGCTAACGCTGGGGGTGCTGAGGACCAGGTGAGCAGCCTGAGCAGGCGCACTGGGGGAAGGGCAGCAGGAACACGGGCAAAAAAAGGGAAGCGGCAGCCCTGTTCTGTCGCAGCAGGACTGATTCAGAGCCAGTTTCTCTGTAGGGAGAGTGTGGGGGCGGGGCAGGGACAAAGGGTAAGGAACGCCTCCCTCCAGCACTCAGCTCTCAGCACCCTGGGCTTGTCCTGATAGGGACCCTCCCGCCCACCTTCGGCTTAGCCTGGGCCCTAAACCGAGGCCCGCCAGCAGTGACCCCAGGCCACAGCCCAGCCGGCCTGTGGGGCACCCTGAACTCTCCCTTTTCTGGGGCCAGGACTGCCAGGGGTCTGTGGCCCTTGCCATGGGCCCCGCAGAGTCCAGGATGGAAACCCCGTGCCTAGCCTCAGCTCCCCTCACCATGCCTCTGCCCTGGCTGGGCCTGGGTCCGGGAACCGCTCAGGGGTAAGCAGGTCAGGGGACTTAGGTGGCCAGCCATTCTCTGTGGGCTGTTGCTCCTCTTGGGCCATCACTCTGGCCACCAGCTCCGGGGCTGGCTCCTCATGGCCTTGCTGCCTCTTCCCCTAATGCAGAGACAAGCGGGCCCCATCTACAGCTTGACAGCCTGCCTTCCGGGTCACTCTGCTTCGCTCTCGTGCTGCTCCTGCCTGAATCACCCCCTAATTGCTCCACTGGGAGATTCAACTTTCCACTGCTGAGGGCTCCTCTTCCCCAGCCTCTCAGCTGCAATATGGAGCTGACGCTGGGCGTCTACTAAGAGCCTAAATTAGGACTCGGTGACTGGGCAGTGGTTTCCTGTGGTCCCAACTTCCCACTTGCGTCTCTGTCTGTGACTGGCTGGCTGGCTCCTCCAGTGCACTCTCCTCCAGGAAGCCTGCCCAGAGTCGCCCGTCTGCTCCGTCCAGGGCTGCCCCAGCCCTCTGCCCGCTTCCTTAAGCACTGCCTCCCCCAAGCTCCAGCTGATTACTCAGGTCAGGTCAGGTGGGCACCTTGCCCAGCGCAGAGTTTGTGTATTGAGAACCCCTTACCAAGAACTGGCTCTGTAGAAGCTCAGGTAAGTGTCCTCGTGTTCAACTCTCTCCACAGTCCTCTCAGGGTGGGGACCCCTTAATGGATGGGGAAGCTCCCACTCGGAGAGGCGGGATAATTGCCTGAGGTCACGTAGCCAGTGCGGCCAAAGTGGGCCTGGGATTTAGAGCCAGAAATCCTGACTTCAGAGAACCAAAGGCAGATTTGAAGAACGGTGGGAACGGGCAGGAAAAAGATCCTGGAGAGAAGGGTCCCAGGCCCCCTGGCGGGAAGAGAGAAGCTGAAGATGCGCACCGGGGAAGGCTGCACCTGGGTCAGATGCCCTGCGTCCCCCTCTCTCGGACTAGCCCAGGCTCCTACCCCAGAGTCCAGGGCTCTGTGACCGCAAAGCGGCCCCTAGCCCTCTCCCGACCCAGGGGCTCAGGGACAGGGTGCCGGGAGGAAGCAATGCCCACCCTGACTGCGTTTTGAGCACAGACTCTGAGAATGACCTCTGGTCCCCTGCAAGGCCCTCCCACTTGGCCTGCCTCTGCGGGCCTGATGCTGCACCCCCACTGGGCAGGCTGAGTTCCTGGATGAAAAGCTGGGGACTCCATTGAAAGCGCCCCTCCCCCTCTAGAGGCGCTAGTTAATGTGCAACCAGGTGTGATTTCTGAGGAACCTGGACCATAAACTCATTGGGTGATGTCACCCAGCTTCTTGCCCAGACGCTGCCAAACCGGCTTCTTGGGCCCTGGGGGAAACGGAGGGTTCACAGACAATGGCCAGGCCACTGGGGCAATGTTATTCTTGGTGAGGTGAGACTGGCACCCTCCAGGTCTCCCCACCCCTTGCTCCTCTGCTCTGGGACCACACAGGCTCCCAAGCAGCCCCTGGTAGGAGGCATCCCCTGACATTTGTGTCTAAAGGCCTTGAAGGCCCCCCCCCCTTTCCCCCGTCGCAGCTGTCGACCACCCATGTTGTCAGTCTAGTGCAGCCTGGGCTTGGCCTGCCCTGGGGGGTCCCCAAGATGGGCCCCAGGTTAAGTCAGCTCAGGGCCGGGCACTCCAGAACCATCGAGGGGTTGCTGGACCTCTGACCTGTCTCTTCTGCCATCCGCCTTCTCATCTTCCTTTGCTTATCTGCATAATGGATAAAACACCCATCTCAGAGGCTGGGGATTTCTGGAGCCTCGAGCTGGAGTATCACCAGGGCCTGACCTTGAGCAAAGCGGCCCCAAACCTCTGGACCTCACTTCTCCAGTTTGGGCCTTGCTTTTGGAGGGAGAGAGGAGCAGGACCCTTCTCTCCTACCCAGCAGGCCTGGCTCTTGGTGGCCTGAGGGTGGGGGGATGGGGGGAGTATCTTTTGAGAAGCTGCAGAGGCTGAAGACAAAGAGGAAGTTCTGAGCGCCCCTCACCCCGTGTCTGAAAGCCAAGTCTGCCTTCAGGTTTCCAGAAACAGAAACTTGAGCCCATCAGGCTTTTTGGGGGGGGGGGAGGGGGAGGGGGGAGGTGGAAAAAGCAACTGCAGATTATTTCTGAACTTGGAGGAAGGGGCTTCAGGGGCACAGGGTGCAGGAATCCCAGGCTTAAGGGACACCTGCTGCCTGGCCGGTCCTGCCCATTTGCGTTTTTACCTTGTTTTATGGGTCTGAGAAAATGCTGACTGGGAACAGGTCAAAGCACGCCAAGGTGAGCGAGGGAAGAGACTGAAGTCCCGTGTGTGGTAACCGCAGGGACAGCTAGAGACGCTCCCGTACACCCTTTGCTGCACAAACAGGCGGAGGTGAAGGGACTCCTCACCCTTTGCCTCTTTGCTCCGGCGCCCATTCCTCAGAGGGACCGAATCCCCTGGAATTCCTTGCTCCGCCGCTGCCCTGCCCCCACCGCCAGCAGCCCCCATCCCCTCCCCTCCCCTGATGTGATTTCGTTCACGCGGCCGGTCACTCGCGGCCAGCCTGCCAGCAGCAGCGTGATGTTCACCTTGCGGTCCCCAGAGCTCACTGTGCGGTCCTGGAGGGCTTTTGTTAAATACACACAGATAAGGGTTTTCCCTGCTCTCTTGCTTTATCCACAAAACGATGCACTGCGTCCCTTAACACACAAGCTCCGATTACCTTTGTTTTCTCTCTTTTCATTTTATCGCATGAAGGAATTGCACTATTCAAATTATAAGCAGACCCCAAACGCTTACATTATACAAGCTGTGGGGTTTTTAAATTTGTGGCAAGAGACAGAAGGGAAATTCTACTCCTTGCAAGGAAATCCTCACTTAAGCTTCAGTGAATCAAAAGCACTTAAAACCCATGAAACTGGGGCGCCTGGCTGGCTTAGTCGGTGGAGGACGCGGCTCTTGATCTCGGGATCGGATCCTGAGTTCGAACCTCAAGTTGTGGGAAGAGATTACTTAAGAAAAAAAGTGGAGATAATAATAAAAAGAAAACCAACTGCGCAACTCCAGCTCGTCCTTCTTCGCCTCTGTCTCTATGGGGAACTAGTGTATGTTCTCGCCATGGTCACCCTGCGGCTGAATTACTTCTCCATATTCTGGGTCCTCAATTACATCACCATTGCAGGCAGGTTTCTTCTTAAACGTCTTATTAGTTTCTTTTTATTGTACTCATCAGTGACCCCTTGGATAGTAGTAAGGGTCTTCCTGACGTTTCTCTGTTATGTTCATATATGGGTAAGATCCTCAGTGTCAGCAGGAAGATCATCACTCTTTTTTTTAAAGTTTTTAATGTTTTTTATTTATTTCTGAGAGAGAGAGAGAGAGAGAGACAGCATGAGCAGGGGAGGGTCAGAGGGAGAGGGAGATACAGAATCTGAAGCAGGCTCCAGGTTCTGAGCTGTCAGCACAGAGCCCGACGCGGGGCTCAAACCCACGAACCATGAGATGATGACCTGAGCCGAAGTCGATGCTTAACTGACTGAGCCACCCAGGCGCCCCAAAATCATCACTCTTAAGTCACATCGGAAGGGTTCAGAAGAGTGGAGGTTCTGCATATCGGACATGGGATAGGATCTCTTTTCCTCGATGAAAATGGCCTGTGGAAGGCTCTCATGGGAGAAGGCAGGTGGCTCTTCAAGAGGTGCAGGGGCTGAGGGGGAGGCTGCTGAGTCCTTGCTGGTGGCTCAGTGACTAGGGGTCTAAGTCGTTTTTTTAAAATAGCTGGGTAACACTCCATGCTGGGATGTGCCTTCCTACCCCTGGCCAGTCCCCAGGTGATGGGCTCGAGTTCATTTGTGTGTTTGTTTCCCCGACTGCGTATGTCTGCAGAGAGATGAGGCCGTCCTTTCCAAAGGCTGGATTCCTAGAAGTGGGATTGCTGGGTCATGGAGTATAAACATTTTTAATTTTAATAGATAACTGCCAAATTACTTTTCAGAAAGGATGTGGTAGCTCACAGTTGCAGGCAGTGAGTGACGTCTTC